TAAAATATCAAAATTCAGTAGATTTTATAAAGTTTGTCTACTCGTATGCTCCATACATACATCTTGCACAGATCTAATTATACACATAATTAAGGACGAATTCTCTTCATATAATAAAACTAATTTGGTTGCTCGAAGCGCAGTTTTTTTTCCCCGAACTTCTATATTCATGCTGAGAACAGGATATAAAAGCCGAGCAAATTAATGCGAAAAATAAACTTTTTACTGTTCATAAATTTGTTAGTTTAAAAGTGGCTTTTTGGAGCATAATGCAGTTGCAAAATTTTGCTGAAGACCACCAGTGAAAGAGGAGGGCGATGCAGATCAGTCGGTGCTTCTTTTGGAATTCTCAAGCGGATCTTTGAATCCCATGACTTCCTTTTCTGCAGAAGACTTTCAGTGAGGTTTTACAGTTGTTTGGGAGAAGTATTGAACCTCATAATTACCATTAATTATAAGACTCAGTGCTGTTTCCTGTTGTTAGTGTCATTTATGGTACCATGAAGCCGCAGAGACACGTTTCGACTCTCCGAATCGTAGTTTCCTGATTACAGTCCGGTTTTAATTAGTGCATTTTTGCAGAAATATTAAAAAGCGTAATCTGCTGTCTGCAAAGAATCTGCAAAGACTGGTTCAAGAAAGAATTCCGCAAGAATCGTTGCGCACAACGACAATGACTGCTACGCTATGCAAAAACGTTACTGTCAGCGGCAGCACCACCATTACCAATTCCTCCACCACCGTTAGCAGCGGCAACAACAATGGTGCTGCCACTGGTACCAATTTAGCGGCACCATCTGTTGCAATGAAAGCGCCGCCATCCAGCTCCGAACAGCAGGCACCATCGTTGAATGCCTGCAAGTGGACAACTATTGTGATACCAGCCGGTGCAACAACGGCTACCACGCTTCCACGGCCGAAACGGGACTTCCGTTTCCAGGTACCACATACTTCTCCATTTTATGAGCGCGCAGACTTGCTTTTTGGAATTCTTTTTTCTTTTGTAACTTTTTTATGAAACTACTAACCTCACAAATGTTCTTCCAAAGCTGTAATTTTTTTCTTTTTAAATGAAAATAATACATTTTATCAACATACAACGCTTGCACACAGCGGGCTCTAACTGGGTTTAGCTAGCTCAGCAGAAAAACCTGGCGTGGTTGCATCTCAATGCAGTCGGGAGAGAATTTCGTACAAGTAATTTATATGGAACTGTTGGAAATTCCGTCCTTCTAAAAGAATCTTTTCTGCAGTTAGCTGCTACTGCGTATAGATCTTCCAAAATCATTCATTTGTCTAGGAAGAGCGATAATCACGGTTTTATTCATCAGCCTCTTGCTTCCATAATACTTCTCGATTCGAGGTGAAGACAGATTAACGGTACGAATGATAACGCATCTGCTAAAAGCAATGAGTAAGAGATAAGGGATCGTTCTAAATATCACGTGCAAAAAGACATGTTTGGATTCAGTCACTGTTCTCGTCCCCCAGCTGTAAACACAGACCCACTGCAACGCGAACTCTGGAGAGATTAATTTTTTTCCAGTCCAAAGCACAGTTCTTTGCGTCAGCTTTACGATAGGATTTTCGAGGCGCTTATTATAGTCCTTATATTTATCATAATTCAGCTTGGGATCATTATCGCCATATAGCTATTGCGTTTGGAGCAATTGTTCGTAGCGCTTCTTCTACGCTTTAAATTAATTATTAAATTTCGAAGCGACGAAAAACCAGCTTCTTTACGTTTTAAATGTAAGATGACGAAAGGCATTGGCAAGAAACTGAGGCTGCTATTAACCTGCTTCTAAGCGACGCCCAGGAAAAGATACTGCTACCGGCAGGTTGCCAGCGTGTGGTTGCTTTTGAAGAAATGCTGCCAGTTGGAATATCTCCATCCTCCGATAGT